ATTCGCCGTTTGTCAATAGTGTCTAAATAAGTAAATAGGCTTAGAAAATATATATAACAGAAAAATAGACATTGGCAATGTTTCCAACCCGCATCCTCATGTATAAATAGCAAACCTCTTAACCTTAGGGCCACCTCGAAATTAATTATACAATTATTACGAAAACATGGCGCTTTTGTAAAGTGGAGGTGCAGTATTTATCGCCAGGTAGTGTAATACATACAGTTCGGTAACTTCTCCAATATTCAGAGATACTTCGTGACATTTAAAAGCGTGGCTTAATCTGATTCCGTAGCGAGTTGGGTGGGATCACTACGGTGTGACTATGCGCCGACTTGTATTACATTGCTTCATTTTTTAGAATTGTAATCTGATAATTACTATTAGTTATTTATTTTGTTTTTTTTTCCATTTTACACAAGCCTATTTTTCGCTAATTTTGTATTTAACATAACGGTTGACTGGGAGAAAATGCCATATGGCAGTAAGTCCGCCTTATGTACCTTATTTTTTTGTGCATTAAAGAGTTAATAAATAAATAAAAAATTATGTGAAGGGAACTTTTTGGTTGTTGAAGTGGTAATTGGTAAAGAAGTATGGTTTGGTGTTACATGGTCATTGTCAGAATGGTTAGACAAAAGTACATAATTACATAATTACATACGTACACTTTTAGCTACAACCACTCTAATTATAAGATTTCCTGCTTTTCATCATCGACGAGAAGACGTCCTTGCTGAACAAACGATCTCTGCTCTTAAGCAGCAGATCAAGATTAAACACAAAATCTTCTAGGTAAAAATTGTACTTACGACCAAATTTAAATACAGACAGACTGCATACATATCCATCCAAAAGACAGCAATTTAGTTAGCGTAAGTTGTGGTCAGTCATAAACTGACCTCTAGCCGGTTGGCTTGCATGCTCTATCTCAAGTGGCAGGCGAATTTATTAGCTACGGCACACGATTTATTGGCAGAGTAATTGACGAGGCTTGCAGGGCGGTTTATTTTCAAGGAAGATACATTGTCTTGGTGTTTACTTATAAACGTAGACATTTTAAGATATTATTCTTTTTCCTTTATTTACTCCTATATCGTGGGTGCGTTTACAAACATACAGGTTCACATACACATCACATCCAGAGCCGGAACAACAATCTGTGGATCACACAAAGAGTTACTCCGTGCTTGAATCAAACCCAATTGAATCAAACCCATTGATACTTGAATGCACCAATCGTGCAGTCAAGTATCAATGCAAATAAAAGGTTATTTAAAGAAAGATATTTGTGTCATGGAAAAATTACTGGTTTAAATCAATTTGGACTTTTTTTTAAGGGGAGAAAATCATCGAATGATTGCTTCCGCCTGGGTGAGGCGGGAGGGAGCGTCAGACTTATACTGACTATAAACCACCCCGTTCCTTCTCCTGCACGTCGAGCCGGAGCCCCGGTAACCCGTTAGGTTCTCCGCTACTCCGAATCGGCATCAGCCCAAATCAGTTTGGACTTGGGTCATGCAAAAGTGAAAACTGGTTTGAATCAGTTTGAACCTGCCAGAGATAAGTATTATGTCATGTTATCAATTTGATATTATCACTATTATCAGTCTCTTTGTGGTAAGGAGTGGCTATTGATGTACATGCATGCCATAGTCAAAAATTCACCGATGAAGCTAAGCGAATACCTACCTATTAAGTAGTTGTATTTTGATTTACAGAAAGTAAACTTACATGAAGAATATTTACCCAGATTTACATTAGACTGGTTCCTCGAGTCAGGAATCGAATGCAAATTGAGCAAGTGTTGTGATTAATGCTCAAACCTTTGAAGAAGCCTTTGGTCACCAATGGCCACTTATTGTTAAACACATTGTTTTTTAATAGAGTAACGAATAGAGTTTCTTGCACATTCCTCTCCATTCGAATCACCATTTTGAAATGAACACCTAGATTCACTGGCGGACAGACTAACAGACTATTATTTATTTTGTATTTGTTGACGTTTCAAAAGTACCAAATTATGGTTTAAACTGTCAAACACCAAGCGGTCACCGGTGACCGCGACCTATTGTTCTTTAATTGTGTCTATAAAACCGGTACTCGACGAGTTAATTGAAATGAATGCTCTGACTTTGACTTTGACTTCATAGGCTGTTTATGATGATAATGATAATGATAGTAACCCGTAGCATAAGCAGAACAAACATGTGTTAATTATAACAAAATAATGCTCATTAGTTTGTAAGTCTTTAATATTCATTAGTAGTACAGACGACAGTAAGTGACAGCTTTATTATTGTTTGTCTATAGTATATTTTTTGTCTATGCTTGTCTATAGAGAATAAAAATGCTAGTCGTTACTGTGAATTCTAAAACTGCGTTTTATTAACATGCACAATTGCACATATTACAAAACAATGCATACAAACGAACAAACAAACAATATCAGTCTAACATTGTAATGTTCGTGCGAAAAATCTACACATAGCACTAACCACAGTTTTGATTTCCCGAGGGCGCACCAAAATTCCCCGTTACATTAGCCACCACTTGAAATAATAATGGCCATACATTTTAGCCGAATTACTTTTCAAGTTGTAAAAGCAATGAATTTTCGGAATGTGCTTTTGTTATGTGATAGAATTATGAACTTATGTTGTAGTTAAGATACCCTTGTTCTAAAGGTCTAATTTACAAGGTAGAACATAATAGATTTTTTTAAGGGGGGAAATTCATCGTATGACTGCTCCCGCCTGGGCGAGGCGGGAGGGAGTGTAAGACTCTTACTCACTAAAAACCACCCCGTTCCTTCTTCTGCACGTCGAGCCGGACCCCCGGTTACCCGTTAGGTTCTCCGCGACTCCGAATCGGCATCGGCCCTATTGGGCCCCATCTGTGGTGTCTGATGGCTCTTTGAGGCGCGCGCGGAACGCGACAGGCCGTACGCTCGGGAACAAATAATTTACCACTTGTTATACCTAGATATTGGATATGTTATACCTAGGTTTGGACATGTAGAAAGGATGGATGAAAGTAGAGTAACGAAAGAAGTATACAGATCGGATATGAATGGGGTCGTCGGTAGAGGGCGCCCTAGACGGACATATAGTGACCAGATTGGCGATATATTAAGAAGGGCCAAATTTAAAGTACCCTTAACCGATGAGCATGCATGAAAAGATTGATGACTGTTAATGAAGCGAAAGAGGTATAATGTAAGAATCGTAGTAATTGGCGTTCCTTAGTCTCTGCCTACCCCCATGGGAGACAGGCGTGAAGTTATGTATGTATGTATACCTAGATAATTCCTAACTGGAAAGTTTAATTAAAGATAATAATACTCATAACTTTTACCACATGAAACGCCATCGTGGTCACCTTTGACCAACGTTAGCTAATGCCAACAACAGTTTTCTTTGGCAGTCAAAGGCCTAAGTAATCTTTTATACAATATCCCTCCTTCTAATCTAGGATTATCCAATTTTTCCATATGACACGATACCCAGCAGCCGGGTGCTCAGTCACTATTTCCTTTTTTTCTTTTTTTAAATAAGTGTTGCCCCACACTAGGATTTTCTCCTGTGTCGTGAGTGCGTTTACAAACATAGAATATCACATACACCTTACACCTAGACCCGGAACAACAATCTGTAGATCACACAAATGGTTGTTCCGAGCGGGAATCGAACCCGCGACACGTTGCGCGGCAGCCAGTTGCCCAGTCACCGCGCCAACCGTGCAGTCTATATCTTCATTTGTGAACAATGAAGTTGAATGCTTCATAAATAGTTTTCAGCTACCTAAAATACAGATTTTAAAAAACTACGAACAACATGATAGCTCTCAAACCTTCTTAAACTTATTGTAATCGCTACTACCAAATACAATGCTATATCTATGAACGAAGCCCGAACTAAATGAACGGAACAAGTTGTTCGTTATGCAAAGCTGCCAAGTTATTAACAACTTTTGTTCGTATTCGTATGAGTTCAAACGTTCGATTTGAAGTGAAAATAGTTTTACTGTAATACGAAATTGTCTGCTATTGATTTTGTAGTCTGCTAGCAGAAATTATAATGACTAGCTACTTCCGCGCGGCTTCACACGCTCTGCTCAGCTCCTATTGATCGTAGCGTGATGTTTTATAGCTTATAGCCAAACTCGATAAATGCGCTATCCAACACAAAAATAATTATTTAAATCAGACTTGTAGTTACGGAGGTTAGCGCGTTCAAACAAACAAACAAAAAAACAAACTCTTTCGCTTTATATAATAGTATAAATAATAGTATAAAGTTATATAATATATAAGATTTCAGGCGAATGAACTTTTAAATGTGGTCTTCATTGGTTTGGATTCTTTTTATTGACACGTTACTGTGACATGCGTCTTTCAATTACGAGTCCACACTTCGATTTCTGGATCGAAATATGTATGTAATATTTGCTTGATTTTGAGTGGTTTCCAAATACCAAAATAAACCGTGTGTTTTAAGCATACATCTGTAAGCATTTTGTCTACCCTTACCATAGTAAAAAATACCCATGTGCGTAGCTACATTTATTGTTATGCAGACAGTTACTAACGACTCTGAATTCGTTTTGGAAAATCTTCCTAGAATATTATCATGAAAAACACATCTATAAAACATTACCAAGAAACTTAACTAAACTAGTAAACACCGCTGTGCCATGAATAATGTTTAGTACTTAAGTTCAGCGCTTTGATATCTGTTAGTGAAACACTACATTTAATTTATCACATAGAAGGTCTATTACATTAATTAAAGGCACTGCTATCTATGAAACTTGTCGCGACACTCCAGACGTAAAGCAAAACGTAGTCTATTCATAAGTAAATAGGTCACAAGTTCAATAAGCAAGCGTATAATGGAGTAGTTCAAGGAAACATAAATGAATACATGAAATATTTATCAACAATATAACAAATGGATTTGTGTTAATGTCTCTCTAGAATTGTTCCACTCTGTTGATCATTACACCGATCTTTTCAATCTCACTGACGATTACGTCACCAGGTCGGAGGAATTCTGGAGGGTTCCTGTACACTCCTACCCCTCCTGGGGTACCCGTGAGGATGATATCACCAGGTAACAAAGTGAAGACGTTGGACAATCTTGCAATAATATCAGGTATCTTGTGAATGAATTGGTTTGTATTGCTCTTCTGTTTCTGAACTCCGTTGACAATGCACCGTATGCCTAAAGCTTGGGGGTCTCCAATCTCATCACTGGTAGTGATGCAGGGACCAATTGGACAGAATGTGTCCATAGCTTTCCCAAGGACCAATTGTCCCATATTCTTATTCTTCTCCCAGTCAGAAGCTCCAATGTCTTGAGCTATAGTGTATCCCAAAACATAATCATAAGCATCTTCTGCCTTCACTTTAGAAGCTGTTTTTCCGATAACGATTGTCAATTCCACTTCACAAACGACCTTCTCGGAGATGTCTGGTTTCAAACGGATAGATGAATTGGGTCCAACGATAGTGCTCGGAATTTGTTGAAGATAAATGGAAGTTCTGGTGGTGTCAAGTTTTGTTCTTCGCAATGGTCCTGGTAGTTCAGTCCGACGCATAGGACTTTATCTATTCCATGAATAGGAGCCTTGAGAGTCACATTTGCTATCGGAACAGTTTCCTGTTCAGATGCATGAAGTTTCTTCACTTTATCAATGGCTTGACTTTTCAAAATCTCGATAAGAGTGTTTGGAATTGTCGGATCAATTTTGTTAATGTCAACTACATCTTCGCCAGCCAGATAACCGACACGTATTTCCTCTGGGTTATTGTTGTAAACAAATTGGACTAGCCTCATTTTTTCTTATGATTCACCGCACTAAATGTTAGAGAATTCCCTTGGTTCTAATAAAAATGTTACTTGGATTAAATAAAATGTTTTGAACACTGAGATAAATTGTTGCTTTCTTTTCCAGCTCTTGTTTAGCAACAAGTGGCGATAGTACTGTCGTCTAGTTAAGATAAACGTACTGTTTTATACGCAATCTCTGGAGTGTTATCTACGATCTTACTCTCGAGTGGAAATATCAGTTGATAGCGTCTAGTTTGATGAATTTACGTATACGCAAACAAAAGGGAATTGTTATGTAAAGTTGTCACGATGCGATAAAAGAATGCAATTTTATTAAGAGGTAAATTACTCTGTATTTTTTATACATCAATCAAATCAAAGTGATATTCTCCTTTCATAACCATAGAATAAATAATAAAATTAATAAAAATTAATTCAAACTATGATCTGTGTGCCGATTATTTTTTGCAACTCAAAATTCCACCTCTATCATAACATAATTTCACGTTAAACCTTGATGGATACACAGACAATACGAAACTACGATTCATAATTACGTTCATAAGATGTTGAATAATTTATAGGAGTTAGCACAAAAAGAATTCTTACACAAGCATTCTCAGATCAAAGTAAAATTATTCGTTTTCTTAGAAGATGTTGAAGGTAGAAATAGTGAAATTACCTTTTATCATAATACGATTCTTGGGGAGAAAGCAAACGTCTTATAATTTAATAATCCTGTGAATAATTCAATACTTATCCTCGTTTAAATAATACTAAGTCTGCTGTAATATCGTTTAAATAGAAACTGTTCTCGTGTTTTCTGGGAATATTAGAGTAATTAGATATTTTGCTTGAAAACGTTTCTGAAGAGACGCGAAGGTTTGATAAATGAGTCGGATTAACGTGTTTCGTAGGTGACGTTCACTTCTTTTATGTTTGTGAACCTTATGTAATATTAAGACTAAGATATAATGGTACAATCCTAATTTCGTCGAAAATGTCACTGTAAGCTAAGCGATTGGGCTCGCAGCGGTAAGTCCCCTCTCTTTGAGGAGTGGCTTGAGAGACGATACGGCGTCTTCACCTACCGGCTGACGCAGGTCCTTACCGGACATGGAAATTTCGGGAGATACCTGTGTTTAATGGGGCGGGAGGAAACGCCCGAGTGTCATCGTCGGAGATCGCGGGACGATCTCCGGCCACCGTAAGCGCGGGGCTACGTACGGCGAGCATGGGCGGCTCGCCGCCAGACCAGAACCAGACCCGAGCGTACGGCGCGTCATTCCAAAGTGTAGATTATACCATCAAGGACCTTACCTACTTACCTACCTATTACCAAAAGCTTAATTAGCTAAAAGAGCCCTTCAGCTAAATAATTATTCCCTAACCTCTATACAAACTAGGACAGATACAGTATGAACTGAAACCAGTAATTATTGACGAATGTAATGTAATTACATTGAGTTAGTAGTTCGATATGAGTTATGCATCAATCCATCTTGTTATTAACTAATTTATTATCTGGTTTGGGATACAATGCCGTCATATTACATGAGCTAGTGATAGCTATGAGTTAGAGATAACAGGGATAGCGTACTTTTATTACCACCACAACTCTAGCCGCGGGTATCCTTAGAACTGAGGAACTACATATTTGACAAAATGCGGGTAGCAGCACTCTCTGATAATCCTTAATCTATCAAACTGCGATCTTCAACTAGGCTGCTAAGCGTAGAGATGATGACAAATACTCTATGTAAGTCTATAGTCTAGGAGTGGACCTTCTGGTGTCAAGCATCATCTTAATTTGCAAAATCATAAATATTTGTGATATGAATATACGTATCTAACCAAATCTATTTTACAAACATAAGTATTTATGATGTGTTTTGCCTAGGATGTTATCATCAGATGCTGATCAGGTGACAACAGTATCAATGTAAAATATAACTTTCCAAATAAATATTTGGACTCAAGTACAATTAATATACAAAGTATCGTGAAAATGACATCGTTTAAGTAATTATAATGCTCATAATAAATAAATTTCTATAGAAACCAATGGCAGCTATTCCGCGTCGAACAAAAAAAAAATCACTTAAATATCGGCCCACAAACACCGACGTAATCGATGTACATACATAAAAAGTACTATCGAATATGTATTATCGATTATAACAATCATGTCTTCCCTCAATATTTTATTACCTTAACTTTGTTATCTCCTTATACTTTCTTTTATATAATTTTGCACCTACCGCTTTAACTTTCTGCACCACCCAATGGTCGACTGTTAGAAAATGCCTACGGCATTAAATCCTCCAATTTCACTATATGTTTAATAAAGTTTAATAAAAAAAATAAGAAAAAATAAAAATAGACCGCCCAAATTGGGAAACTCATCCTTTTTGGAAAGTCGATTAAAAAATAAAAGTTATATAATCAATATTCCAGATTGGTGTATTTTTAAAAGTCTATTTTATTATCTGAAACACTATTTATTACTACCCACCGTATCTCTAGACGCTAGCAGATCTGCATGTAATCAAACGATGTTATCCCAGGCGATGCTAGCTATTGTTACGAGCCAATATCCATTAGATTACTGCATCGTGATTGGCTAGCATCTAGGCAGGTAAATGTATCAAGGATTAGGTTATATGGGCCATGTCTTCGGTGTCAGACTTCAAAGTGGAAAGGAGAGATACACGGATTACTTTGACATAGAAATTGAGATGAAATGCTTAATTAGACTGCCTCGTAGACCGCGTGGTCGCAAGTGCGGCTACCGAGCAAGCGGTCTCGGGTCGGGCAAAGTTTTACTGGTTTTGTTCTTGTAATCTCAGTAGTAGCACGGAGCCTGGAATTGTGCCCGGTATATGGCAATAGGCTTACATGGGACTCATAACATAAATAGGTAGTGAAAACTGGGTGTTACATTGTACAGTGGCATTAAGTGTCGTAATATGCACTTAGTGCGTGCGTGATGTTATGTTATGTTATACTTAGTTAGAACGATATTGACTCGTCGAGTACCGGTTTTATAGACACAATTAAAGAACAATAGGTTGCGGTCACCGGTGACCGCTTGGTGTTTGACAGTTTAAAGGTTGATTGTATATACTGGCTAGTAGAAACATAAGTGTCTCCTGTTCAGGATTAGGTTTTAGTTAGATATTTTTCGTATAGACTTATATCAAACCTTGTGGTCAATTTATTAAAAGGTACCGGTTGCATTTTCGGATTGGGATGCAGCCACGATCGGTAGTTTGCTCGCCCCTATGAAATGAGCCTTACTAAGTTTGTTTGAATTGTGTATTCCGAAACTAATTAATCAATTTGAAAATTTCTTTGACTATTGAGAAGCTTATCTTTCACAGAGTCGCATAGAGTACTTTTTGTATTATAGGTAACTTTCGTGAGACATACTAAATAAATTATTATGTTTTCGGCTTACTCACATAATTATTTGCCGAGGAACTAAGTATTTTTTGTCGGAATGTTCCTATAGTAGTATCAAGGACAATTGGGTAGTTTCCTTAATCAAAAATAAACGACTTCGACTATTCAATACAATATGATATTAAAAAATAATCACACTTTTATTCATTTATTTTATGACCAACTCAATTTTAGTATTTTTCCAGTAAATTTTTCAAGAAACAAGTATGCTGTTTGATGCTAATAAACATGACGTCACAATACACAATCTCGTACAAAATTCATAGAAAATTATTGTTTTTGACAGTTCGAAAAAAGTAGGAATTGAATTTGGCTAGTTGGCAAGTACCCAATTAAAGAAGAATCATCAAGCGAAATTAAATCGACTATCAGAAAGCTAATGTCACTAACCAATACATATTACTGTTATAAATTGGCTTGACTTCATAACACCTTCACAATAAATAAATAGGTTACCTCCAAGACCCACAGAGCTAACCTAATATCGGTTCGTCCTACATATAAACAATAACGTCACGATCAGTGGCTACATCTCGATACGGCCGCCATTGTTACACAGACATTAGATTATAAGCCTGATTGCAAGACCTAACATAATGCCTTTCTAGATAGTTAGAATAAGCTAGATATTAGATAACTTGAAATGATAGATGGTTTTATTCTATAAATAGTCTTGTAGTTTATTAATTTTTTTTTTTAAATATACAGGGTTACTTATAACTCGACGTATTCCTCTCGGGAGGTGATAATACAATTAATTTCCTACAAAATTAGCCCTGAGGTGAGGTCCGAAAGTGGTTATTTTCCGAGATATCCAACATTTTCGGTTTTGGTGAAAAAATCCCGATCAAACTACAAAAACATCAATAAATAAAAAACTATTGGTTTAATTTAAGTGATTTTAGTTTTTATTTGTTGTCAATACATCAATATACTTTTATTAATACTAATACTGGCAGAAATATCATTCGTTTTAAAATAGCAAGTAAATTAGTATCAAATTTTGTTTTGAGTCACGTCCATAAGCAACCTCTGTAGCGATTAAACGCCTGGATATGCAGCAACTGACGTGGCGGAGGGGGTTCCACCAAGCAGGGCTAACATGATTGTTCATTATTGACAGGATAAACCTGGACTCATCGTCTTCCGACAACGGATTATTCACATATCTGCCGCCGCCGTGGCTCAGCAGGATACGCTCATAAGGACCTCCCTGGGTGGGGTGGATGTAGGGTAACTCCACCCCGGGCTTACTACTTCACTACGTAGAAACGGACCCCACCTATTCACCTATTCACCCAG